ATGTGTGTTTATATGTGTGGGATGTGTGTATATGTGTGTGTCTGTGTTTGTAGGTCTCTGAATGTTAGGTTTCAGAGACCTTGACTTACAGACAGAACCATGTCTGCAAGAAAACAACAAAATGTCTATTGGCCTGCACCTGCAGACAGAGCCAAACGTGCGATAACAGAAAACCCCACAAAACAGCTGCTGGCTTACAGGCAGTCAGCATTTTCTGTTCAAACAACACTACCCTGTCAGCACCGCCCCTATAGAACCCTCCTCATCCCCTCCCTCGGGGCTGCACGTCTCCTTTAGACATGCAGTCCGGGGTTGCAGCCATCTTTGCTCAGCCCGATAGACTTTCTCCTACTAAACTTTATTTTGTTTTTTTATTCCCCTTCCAGCCCTCCTCCCACCCCTTCCAAGCTGTTGTTGTTCTCAGTCAAGTTGTGGAGAACGTCGCTGGCCCATGTTGGTATTATGATCATTGTGCTCTACCCGGCTGAGGCAGATCGGTCACAGGCCATTGGCCGGCAGCTCATGGCAGCTCACGGCGGCTCACAGCAGCCCAGCTCCAGGCCGAGCTGTTGTTCACAATCTTAGTTGTAGAGGGTGCAGCATCACTGGCCCGTGTGGGAACCGAACTGGCAGCCATGTTGTTCACAGCTTGCGTTCTTACCAGCTGAGCTATCTGGCCGCCCCCTCTTAATAAACTTTCTTAACTTGCCTGACCGTGCACGTTTCTTTACCGGCTGACCTAGCATGTGTATGTGTGCTTACATGTCTCTATGTGTGTTTATGTGGGTATGTATGTGTGTTGAGTGTTGTGTTCATGGGCCATGCATGTTTCTGTGTGTAGTATGTATATGTGTTGGATGTGTACATGTATGTATGTGCGGCTGGACTGGCCCAAGGTCACTCAGCTGGTGTGTGAATTTGGACCCAGCCCAACCTCCAGTGCTTTCCAAGAAGCCTTGACCGTCTTCATAGATTGCTGGCTGGTCTTCCTTCCCAGACATGCTGGGGCGAGGCCTGAGGACGGGGTGCAGCGAGGCCAGCCAGGGGTCTAGAGATTGAGCCAGGGTACCCCAGAAGTGACACATGGGGCTTTATCAGATCCCCAGATTGACCCCCAACAAGGGAAATAGATCCGAGTGAAAGGGCTGGAGATGGAGGGTGGTGGGGGGACCCCACAGAGTCCCCAGCTTCTGCAGGGCCTCACCTCGGCTTCTTACGGGACCCTTCTGACGTGGCCCTAAGGAGACAGAAGCTTTCCACTCCCCCCCCCCCCCCCCGCTCCTCATCACAGCGCTGCATGGTCATCTTATGAAGGTGGAGGCCTCCCCTATAGCACCTGCTCCACTGGACAGGGTCCCACTGGGCGTCAGAAGTCATCGTGCAGCCAGCGGTGCTCCCTGAGAACATAGCCGGGTTTTCCTGCTCAGCAGCCGGTGAGGCAGAGACTAAACGTGGGAGCATGGAGAAGGTGGAGAGTGCAGAGCCAGCAAGGGCGCGTGCGAGCTAGGGCAAGGCTGTCTTGGGTCTGTCCAGGCCTTTGTTCTAAACCCCTAGAACTCACTGCAGAGACTTAATTTCTAAGAGGCTTTATCCCTAGACCAGGAGGAAGGGCCAGGCCCCGTGCTTGCTAGGGGAGGACTGGGCTGGTTGACAGAGGGGAGCAGTCTTTTTGCCCCATGCTGCAGCTGTGCATTCTAATGAAAGGAGGCTGTGCGTTCACAAATGAATGGTTCTAATGGTGGAAATTTCTGGCATTTGGAGTCACAAATTTGGGGCCAAGGTCCCTTTGGTTTTCCAAAGCTCCCTGCTTCGGTAGCTGCCAGTTTCGTTTCAAGCCTGGGGTCTTTTATCATTTGCTCTGCTTCCGTTAGCATCACCGCATGCCTCTCTTTAATTAAAATCTACTTTCAAGGACATCAGAAGCCACTTTCCTTGGTGGTTTTGGGTCCCAGAATGTCATTGCTGTGACACAGCCCCGTGACACCTACCACAATGACCGCCTTTGCATGAAATGTGGGCAAAAGTTCAGGAAGAGCCTCAAAAGCAGCTTCTGTACCAGGAGGGTATTCTAGCCTTGCTAGTTCTGAAAGGAGCCCTCAGGAACACCCTTCAGGGGCACCGTGTTGTCACAGAGGGTCCTGGTGCTCCGGGCCAAGTGAGTAGCACCCCCGCCCACCACCACTGAAAAACTTTGATTTTAAGTTTCCTTTTCCTTAAAGTTTCCTTTTTCCCAGGTTTTTTTCTTTTTTCTTTTTGTCTCCTACCCCCTGCTTTAGATAATTGACCTGAAATTTGTGATTCATGCTTGTTGATTGTAATCATTGAAGCTGATGTTCTTGCCAAACCCATTCTGGGCCCAGCTCCTGGACAATTGACGCCACCTGAGTGACCAGTTAAATGATCACACGCTCCATAAGAGCTGATGGATTTTCCATCATGTAGACATTTATTAATTAGAATCTATTTTTCCTCATTCAGGGGCTTTGGGGATACAGGGGATACCCCAACAAGACTGCAAGTCCCTACCAAAGAAGCCAGTGTGGTCTTCCAGGTGGATCTTGAGACCCCTTTCTGTCATCTGAGATTAGATAGGGTGAGAGTTCTGTGAATCCCCCAATAGGCAGGGACATCTACGCCCCTGCCCAGCAGGAAGCAGATACAGAAGAAAAGACCTCCTGCCCCTCAAGTTCCCATAGAGATTTTATAGGGATCATGTCTCTCAAGGGGGAAAACAAGGCAGGCAAGTTAGCGGCAGGCATTGGGTCTCTGCATTCCTGCATGTCCAACACAACTAACAGAAGGCGATCGCCCAAAAGACCTCCCCTCTCCGCCCAAAACTTCCCCTTTTCATGTAATTATCTACCCCTATGAGGAAACAAATGGGTACAAAATACCCAACTAGATTAAAACAGCCACTCACACCTGCGCAGTAAAGGCCACAACGACCTTCATTTCACCTGGGCCTCATTATATCCTCATTATAATGTCATACATATGCCCGGAAGTTTATGAATGTCATTATAACAGAGTGAATTCTGGGAAGGAACATGCGCAGTCTAAAGAGATGAGGTAATAGCCTCTTGTGTTGGTCAAGTGGCCCCACGCCTAAAGAGGAACAGCCCATTCTACAGAAAAAAGAAAAACTCCAAGTCCTGGGCGGTCAGGGCCTTGTGAGTGCCTTCTTTGGCTCAGCCCGCTCCAAACGCTTTGGAGTGTACATTTTATCCTAATAAACAGCTCTTTCACTACTTTACCTCTGTATCACGTTCAATTCTTTGCTCTTGCCGCCCAGGACCTGGACACTGCGCCGAGGAGGGCCCGCTCCCCATAACGCTGAAACCTGCTGGTTCCTCAGGGCAGCTCCAGGGAAGAGGCTTTCCTCAGACTTCACTCCATAGAAAGCTCCGTAATGAGGGCTAATGACTTTAATTGCCGTCCCCTTCACTTAGAAACCAGCTCAAGAGGACCTAATTGCCATTCAATGGCCAAGAACAGCTCTGGTTCCAGGAAGAGTGCGTCTCCCTTCTTTCCACCAGTCCCTCCATCCTTCCTTCCCTCGCCCTCTCCTTATTCCTTCCCCACCCCCACATCAAGGCTGCCATTTCTCCTGTCTCTGTGCCAGGGAGAAATGAGAGTTGTAGCC